ACGAGCCCCGGCTCGGTCTTCATTGCGACGAGCCCCGGTTCGGGCTTCGGCTTGACGACACGGGAGGAGGGAGGAGAGGGGCCACCACGGGTGCGCTGCCCGAGCTGCGTCTCCACGGGCTCGGCCTTGACCGGGGCGAGCGCCGGTGACCCGGAGGAGCGGGAGGAGGAGGAGGAGGAGAAGCCGCCCGCCATGTGCCTTGACAGCCAAGAAGAGTTGCCGCTCCGGTGGGGGGCCGGGGCCGCCTGGTACTCGCGCGGCGGCTCGTTGCCGCCCTCGAGGTGCTCGAGGACGGCATGGAGCGTGCGCCCGAGGATGCCCACCACAGGCGGCGGCCGTCGGTGTTGTATCGGCCCCTCACTGGCGCGTTGTTGGTGGAGGCGAGCTGCTCCTTGTGGCGGCGCCGGAAGTACGCCGTCCACCAAGCGTGGTTGTCGGCGACGTACTCCGGTAGGCCCCGCACCTTCTCCGGTAGGGACGCCTGAACGCGCGCGATCTCACTGTGGCGGCGGTCGACGTCGGTGGGCGGCGGGGGGACGGGGACGCCTCCGGCGCTCAGCCTCCATGAGCCCAGCACGCGCATGTCAGGCGGCGCCGGGTAGTTTGCCTCGTGGAGGAGGTACGCCTCCCACTCGTTAAGGTGGCGGCGACCGAAGCCGTTGACCGTCGCTCCGTCGCCGGGGAATCGATGGGCTATCGGCGGTGGCTGCAGACAGGGAGAGAGGTGGGCGGGGGGAGATGGGTCGACGATGGCGAGAGAGGGACTGCGGCGAGGGGTGTGCGGCCAGAGGCGAGGGAGAGCGGTACTTATAGCGGCGGGTGGGCGGCGAGCGGGCAGCAACCTTGTGGACACGTGGCGGCATGCCTTCACAGCGTCGCCCATGAGGAATCAATGGAAGGCTGACCGGTAGCAGCCTTCGCATTGATTCCCCGCGAGAAAACGAGACGATGAGGACGACGAACGTGCCTAGTCGCTGACTCGACTGGTCCACCAGTCTTTCGTGCCAAAAAAGTTTTTATGGGCGTCCCTCAACGCGTCAGGTTTGGTCTAGGTCCGCCGGCGTCAAATTCGGTCCTAAGCGACGGAAAGTGGACTTCTGAAGATGCGATTGGACCCTTTTTTTCTCGCCGGCGAT